TCCTCCTCTCTCTCTTTCCCCTCCAACTTCTCTTCCCTCCTCCGTAGAGTTTGCCAATCGATTTGAAAAGAAAAAAAAAAAAAAAATTCGTCTGGTTTGTTTTTTTTTTCGGTTCGGTATATTACAAATCGATTCGGTTATTAATTTAAAAACTGCAGCAACGACAGCAACAGCAGTAGCCGCAGCAGTGGCGGCATCGGTTTCCCGTCCTCGTCCTCGTCGTGAAAAATGAAAAAGAGTAACAACGACAGGAAGAAATTAATCGTCGCGGAAAAGTGTTTTAAAACTAATTATTATTATTTTATCGCTCGCTCCGCACTGAATAATTGCCCGTTCGGATGTGAGGAGAGAGAGAGAGAGAGAGAGAGAGAGAGACAATAGTCGTCGTCTCCGGTTATTATTAAAATGAAGCAGAAGACGTGTCGCGCACACACGCACACGCGCGTAAATGTTTAATTAACGATTTAAAAGATGTGTGTGTGTGTGTGCGTGTATTGATAAGCGTTCGTTATTATTTAAAAAAAAAAAAAAACGCGCGTTTTTTTTTGGCACCACAACAACAACAACAACAACAACAGCTCAATAGATTGTGAATGAATGAAAGCGTAGTTGAAAAAAAAAAATTTTTTTTTTTTTTGTTTTTTAAATTGGTTCGCGGCCATGTTTTTCACACGCTTTTGCGTGTAATCGTTTCCGAAGGAAGTAGTGAGAGGGAGGGGGAAGGGGAGAGGAGGGGAAGGGGAGAGGAGGGGAAGGGGAGAGGAGGGGAAGGAGGAGAAACGAGTAGAAATTTACCGTTTAGGCTTTTTATATTACTCACGGGTAATTTTATACGTACGTACCCGTGTAAAATTCGACACACGTTTATTAATTTTATTATTACTATTATTATTATTATCGAGTTTTTTTTTTTTTTTTTTAAATTAATTTTATTTGAAAAGATCTTTCTCTCTTTCTCCCTCTCTCTATCTCTCTTTCTCTTTCTCATTCTGTCGAATGAATCCGATAGATTTTAATAATTTTTCCGTGGAAAGAATGGCAGTTGGATTTAAAGGTTGGATTTGATATCGAAAGAGAAGGGGAAGGGAAGAAGGAAAAGAAAGGAAAGAAAAGGTGAAGTGAAGTTCGTCGGTTAAATGTTATCGAAGGGAGAAAAGAAAAGGAAAGAGATAGAGGGAGTGAGAGAGAAAGGCCTTCCTGGAAAATGGAAATATTTTCCGAACGTTTTTCAACGCCCGTAATAATGGAAAGGAAATGAAGTGGGTTTTTCGGAATCGTTTTCCTTCCATGTTTCTCATCCCCCCCTCTCTCTCCCTCTCTTTTTCTTTCTCTTCTCGTGAATGAACTTTTTAAGATCTCTCTCTCTCTCTCTCTCTCTTTTTCCTATCTGGACGAAAGAAAGAAAGAAATAATATTAAAATTAGTCGTAACGAATAAATAAATAAAAATTATCATCATCATCATCATCATCATCATCATCGCGCGGTATTATTTAGTAGTGTTTGTTGTTTGTTGTTGCCTCTGTTGTGTTTGCTCTCGTTTAAGATTGTTATCGGAATTGTTTATTAAAGGTTATATTATTATTATTATTATTTTTTGTTTTGTTTTTATTTATATTTACGATTCGAACACCTGGGCGTGTTTTGTATATATACCTGCGTAAAAGTGAAATTGGAAAGAAATTTTAGTTTTCTTTACTCTATGGAATTTTTCTCTTTCGTCTCGGTTTTCACTAGTTGAAGAAAAAAGGAAAAAGGAAAACCCTTTGACGAAAAAACGAAGGAGAAAGAAACAGAAAAGTATTATTTGAGTTTTTTGTGAACGCGTTTTCATTTTTTTTTTTTTTTTGTTTTTGTTTTTATTTGCGGTTTCATTTAAACCGCATGTATAAATAAATAAATTTTTTTTTTTCCCCCCTCAAGTCGAATGAAAAAAGGAAAAAAGGAAAAGAAAAAAGAAAAGTTTTTGCCAAAGAACGGGTTACGCTCGGTTTTCCTTTTTTTTTTTCCTTTTTTTTTTTTTTTTTGAAAATTCATTTGCCCAGGCTGCTTCCTCAAATCTTTTTTCTTTTTCGTTTTTTTTTTTTATTTTTCTATCTCTTTCTCTCTCTTTCTTTCTCTCTCACTCTCTTTCTTTCTCCATCTCCATCTTTCTTTTCTTCCCTGGAATTATCTCATTTACTTTCCGTCTTTTTTTTTTTTTTCTTTTTTCGTTTCTTCGCATTTCTTATCCGCTTTTATTTTTCTCTCCTCCCCATTTTTTTTTTTTTTATTAGTTTACTGGGAAATTCATTCTCGCGTTTCTTTCCCTCTCTCTTCCTCTCGCTCTTTCTCTCTCTCACGTTTTTCACGTTTTGGTTTTTTTTTTTTTTTTTGTCACTTATTGTGTAAGCGGAGAAAATGTTTTGTGCCTTCAGGTTTTATTATTTTTTTTTTGCAAGTGAAAAAAAAAAATTGAATCGATAAATCAATAAATTTTTTTTTCATGGCGGAAAATTTTTATTGTGAAGCGTTCGTTTACGTCGAACTGTTTTCCCGGATTTTTTTGGTTTTGTTGTCGAAAACGAACAAACGAACAACAAACGGACGAACGGTCGCGTTCGGTTGTTGTTGTTCGCGTTCGAGAAGTGTTCTCCTCCTCTCCCCGTTCCACAATTAATAATATAAAATGTTTTGAAACGAATCGTCGAATTTTATAAAAGGGGGAAATTTTTTTTTTAATGTGTGGAAACAGGGGGAAAATGGGGGGGGGGAAATTGATGTGGGAGATTCGAAAAAAAAAGATGTGAATATTAATCTCTTTTTTTTATTTTATTTATTTAAAACAAATTGCAAATTGCAAATTGTTAAAAGTGAAAGTGCGCCATTTTTGTTTTTTTTTTTTTTTTGTTCTTGCATTTGAAAATTGCCTAGGCGTTCAGCATTGAGGAGGAGAGGGAGGGGAGAATGGTGTTGAGTCCGCCATTAATAAAAGTAATTTTTTTTTTTTTTTTTAAAACAAGTTTAATTGTTTGAATTAAAATGTTTTTTTTTTTTCATTCGAATGTGTAATTAATTAATTAATTAATTAATAATTACTTACGTTGTTGGAGTCAACCTGGACTTTATCATCATTATCATTCGTTCATTCATTCATTCATTCATTCATTCATTCATTCATTCATTCATTCATTCTTTCAGAAATTTTAATTTTCATCGCGATTGCAACGAAAAGTATCATGACATAGTTATTTATTTATTTATTCCGGTTTGTATTTTTTAATGTTAAAAGAAAATGATAATAATGATAATATAAAACGGACCGAAAAAGGTTCGAAATCGGGTTGATGAAGAGGTTGAGAGTTAAAATGCAAGTTTAAAACGAACCGAACTGAAAAATAGGATAAACCATAAAAAAAAAGCCTTTTTTTTTATGACACTTAATTTACAATTGCTTATCACAGCCATTTTGTTTTCTTTCTTTTGCGTTATCCCCCCCCCCCATTTTATTGTCTCTTTACACTTTTCTCTCTCTCTCTCTCACACTCTCTCGCTCTCTTTTTTCCCCTTTCTATTTTCGAGATTTTGCATTAGAAAAAAAAAATCGTTTTAGTTTATTTTTTTTTATTATTACGAAAAAAGTTGTTGTTGTTGTTAAAGATTTAATTACTGTTACATTATCATTATTATTATTATTATGATTGAATGAATCGTGTGTGATTCTAAGGAGGAATGAATGAATGATTAGACATTCTCAAAAATTAAAAAAATTTAATTTTTGCCTCGTCGCTCGGTGGGAAATTTTTAATCCAAAATCTCCGACGTCGACGACGATGACGGTGGTGACGGTGGTGACGACGACGACTCCATGGAAAATAGGTCTCCCGTTCAATGTTCGCGGTTTTTATGACAGTTAAACCTTCTTTTTTCGAAAAGCGCAAGTTCTTACCCTTTTCTTCCCTTCCTTCGTTCATCATCTCCTTCCATCTCTTCCTCTTCACTTTTCTTTGAGCTTTTGCTGCAGCAGCGAGAGCGGGAGCAGCTGCGTATGCTGTCGTCGTCGTCGTCACCGTCGACGTCGACGTCATCATTTTCGTGACCGACATTGGATCGATTCTTTCGAAATAGTTAATAAATTCGAAGGGAAACCCGAACAGATAGATTTATTTTACTTTTTTCTTCTGCTCCGTAGAAGAAAAAAAAAAAAAAAAGAAAAAATTTTAAAGAAAGGAGGGTGAGAAAATCCAGGTGAAAATCGGATTTTGAAATGCGAGGGAAAAAAAAGGAAAAAAAAGGAAAAAAAGGAGAAAAACCCAACAGTGAAAAGAAGAAGGAAAATGAAAAATGAATTTTGATGTCTCTTTTTTTTTATTTTTTATTTTATTTTTTTTATATATTTTTTTTTTTCTTTTCAGTTTTGAGTTTTGAGTTTTCTTTTTTTGTAAATTTTCCGGTCCTTTTTTTTTTTTCTAACTCTTTCTCTCTTATTTTGTTGACTCAGATTTAACAAAAAGAGAGAGAGAGAGAAATATATATTAAAGGCCAATATTCTTTCACGGTTACATAAAGAAGCAAAAAAAAAAAAAAAAAAAAAAAACAAGAAAAAAAGGAAAAAAAAAGGAAAGTTTTTTTTTTTTCCCTTATGAACCTTTTACGACGTCAAAGTTTATTTTTCTTCTTCTTTCCGTTAATTTACAATTTGTGGGTAGGGTAGAGAGCGGGAGAGGAGGGGGGGGGACAAAAATTTATGCAAAATTAATTAAATTTTTCACTTTTTTTTTTCTCACTTTTTATTTTATTTATAAAATTTTTTTAACGTGAATCTGGAGTAGAAAAAGTAGAAGAAGAAGAAGAAGAAAAACTTGTTTCGCTTTTTAATTAAAATGACATAATGGAATCCATTAATTTCTCTCTCCCCACCTCTCTCTCTTTTTTTTTTTTTGCTCCTTTAAAATTGATTGATCGGTTAAACAAAAAAAAAAAAAGGAAAAAAGGAAAAAAGGAAAAAAAAAGGGCTCGACAATGAATATAACAATAGCGACGTTTACAAGGAGTTATTTAAACGAAAGAAAAGCCGTTCAATTAATAATAATAATAATAATGATAATGATAATACCGAATTTTATTTATTTATTTATTCACGTGGCGAAACGTTAATAATAATAATAATAATAATAGTAATAATAATAATGATATGGTTGAAATAAATTTATGTTATGATTAAAATTATTAATTTTCGGAGAGAAATCTTTGATTTGATTTGTTTGTTTTTTTATTTTTTTTTTTTATGTGTATTTTTATAAAGTCTAAGTTCGTTCGTTCGTTCGTTTGTTTGTTTGTTTGTTTGTTTGCTTGCTTGTTTGTCTTCGGTAGCTTTTTTTTTTTGCCTTTGGCGGTTTTCGTATTGTTTATTATACGTTGTTGTCTTTTATAAGAAAGTTTATCCGTCACGGTTTTTTCCCGCCGGGCGGCATTCAAAGGCGCTAATTTTTATTTATTTATTTATTTTTGGAGCGAAAAAGAAATTCGTGCGTATTTTTTTTTTTTACCGAAGCACGCACACGCACGCACTCACGCACTTTCGCTTGTTTATTTAAGAAAAAAAAATTATTTAAAAAAAAAAAAAAAAAAAACGCGTTGGAGTTTCACAAAGATTAAGAAAAAGATTTTTCCGTTTCCGTTTTTGCCGTTTTCCTTCCTCCCCCCGAACTACTCCGTCCTCCTCTTCCTGCCCCTTCCCTTCCCTTCCCTCCTCCCACCGCGCGTTTCAAATAAATTATTCTCTTTTTCATTTTCTTAAAAGGTTTTGACAAGGCTTTTGATATGAAAAGAATAATATTTATTTAAACGATACGATACGTACAAAACGTACCGCGGATGAATTTTAAGAAAAAAAAAGAGAGAGAAAGGATGACGATGATAATGATGATAATTTCCGGTTCATCGTCATCGTCGTCATTATTATTATTATTATTATTATCATTCGACTATTTATTTATTTGTTTTATTTTCAGGGTCCTCCGCCTCAGCCAGGGCAATTGAAATTCACGGTTGCCGAAACCTGTGAGAGAATAAAAGAAGAATTTAATTTTTTACAAGCCCAGTATCACACGTGAGTAATTGATTGATTGATTGATCGATCGATCGATCGATTGATTTTTTTTAACGGTTCTAATAAAAAACGAATAATTTTTTTAATTTTTCAGATTAAAATTAGAGTGCGAAAAGCTTGCTACGGAAAAGACTGAAATGCAGCGGCACTACGTAATGGTAAGTTTTTATCATTATTATTATTATTATTATATCGATTGTGATTTTTTTTTTTTTTTTAAACAATTTTTTACTGTCGAAAATGTTGACGGGATTTCGAAAGAGTGAGAGTGAGAGGGGGGAGGGGAGGAGGGGGAGAAAAGAAAATATTAATAATAAAAACTTATGCTTTCACTCCAATAAACAAACCGACAAGTTAAGGGTTCGAAAAAAAAAAAAAAAAGAAAAAAATTCCCGATTTATAAAACAAAAGGAAAAGGAAAAAAAAAAAGATTCCAGGAAATATCAACAACAAAAAAAGGAAGAGAGAGAAAAAAGGAAAGAAAAGGGAAAGGGGGGGAAAAAAGAAACATCGTGTAAGATGGAAATTTGTCTCTTGTCTCTCACACTATTCCTTCCTCTTCCTCACTTTTCCGACTTTTCTTTTTTTCTCTCTTTTCCAATTCGTTTCTCCTCTCCTCTCTCTTCTCTTTCTCCTCTTCTCCATCATCTCCAGAAAGAAAAAAAAAAAAAAAAATAAAGCTTAAAAAGAAAATAAATCAAAAAAAAAAGAAAATATAAATTTATATATATAAACGTACGCGGGGAAAAAAAAAGGTGAAATGGAAAATCTCTTTTTTTTTTTCTCTCTCTCTCTCTCTCTCTCTCTAGGAAAAACGTGATCAATAAATGAAAACCTTCACTATCTTTTGGACAGATAAAGCAAAAACAAGCAGACTCCAGCCGGGTTCCAGCAATTTTTTTTTTTTTTTTTTGTTTCATTTAATGGATTTTCACGCGATCAACGGTTTTTTTTTCCCTTCGTTTTGTTTTTGTTTTTTTTTATCTCCTCTCATTATGAAATGTCCAGTTAAGGGAAAGTTATGGGTTTGGAAAAAAAAAAAAAAAAATTCAAATTGACTTTTTGAAAAAAAAAAAATTTTCTACTTTTCATCGTGTACCGTATAAAATTTTCCCATTTGTTTTCCTTTTGCCCCCTCTTTCCCCCCTTTCCGTATCTCTTCCTCTCCCTCCTTCACTTATTCGATCAACTTTCTCCCGGGGGGTAGAAGGGAAGGGAAAGGAAAGGAAAGGAAAGAGGGAAATTTTTTTTTTTAATTTGAAAATATTCTCGTCCTTTTTTTTCCGGGGGTAGGGGGTGATGAGGGTGGGGTTAGGGGTTGGGGAAACGAAGGGGGGTCATTTTACGCGACCGTTTGTTTGTTTGTTTGTTTGTTTGTTTTCGTTTGTAAGGCATCGAAATCCCGTAAGTTGATGAATGTTATTTTGGTACCGTGAAAGACGGACAGAGCGCGTTTCGTAAAAAAATTTTTTTTTTTTTTTTTCCGGAAAATGAGGAAAATTTTTAAATGAGTCGAGTTGTTCTTGTTGTTGTTGTTTTTTTTGTTTGTTTGTTTGTTTGTTTGTTTGTTCGTTGCCTGTTATGTCGAATCGAACGTTTTTTCATCGTCTTGCGTCCTGCGTACGCTCGTTCGTTCGTTCGTTCGTCACGGTTCGCGTGAAAAAAGGAAAAAAAAAAGAAAAATGGTCTTTTTTTTCTTACTTTTCCTTTCCCTTTCTTTTCTCTTTGGAAAATTTATTCCGTAACCACTTTTAAGAGGAGGGGAGGCGGGGGAGGGAGTGAGCGATCACGATTAAAAAGGTGAATTAATGAAAATAAGGGAGGGAAGAAGAGTGCTAATTGTTATTATTATTATTATTATTATTACTATCGCGTAATAAATTGTTAATAGCGCATATTGTCGTTTAATGCTCCACGTGATGCGTTTCTTTTTTTTTTTTGAGGGTCAAAGGTCAATACTAGATTGTGCAAGAATAAAAATGCTTAGCGGAAAGAAAGAAAGGACGAGTAATGAATAAATGACCTTTTTTTTTTTTTTTTATGTATTTTTTCGAATATAAAAACCACCAGAGAAGGAGACGAAGAAGAAGAAGATGATGATGAAGAAGAGGAAGAGGAGTAGAAAAGGGGGGCGGGGGGAAAATTCCGTTAATTTTGCACGTTCGAATTTTTTTTTTTTTTTTTTACCGCCGGCAAACGAAAACAAAGAAGAAAAACCGCAAAAATTTATTATTATTATTATTATTGTAATGATTAAATCGACAATAATTTTGCGGTTTTTTTTTTTTTTTTGTTTAAATTGAATTGTTTGTCGGTTGTGCCGTTTGTCTAATTTTTTTTATAAAATTCGAAATCCGTCGGGTTAAAATTTCGAAAAAAGGGATGAAGGGGGAAAAAAGGGAAGGGAAAAAAAGGAAAAAAAAAAAAAACCCACAGGTTGTAATTATTTAATTCTATTTTTTTTTTAACCTTCTCTTTCTCTCTCTCTCTCTCTCTCTATCCTTCTCTTCGTTCTTTCAATTGATGCGTGTGCGTGCGTGTGTGCGTGTGTGCGCACACGCGCTTGTCTTATACGGCCCGTTCGTGCGTGCGTGCGTTTTATGTTTCCGTTCAAACATTACGATGATAATTTTACATATCGAAAGGATTTTGGCATTCTCTTGATATTGATTCGTTTTCTACGTATTACTTTCATCGATGGCGTCTGCTAAAAAAATTTTTTTTTCATTTTCCTCTTCGCACGCACGCACACGCACACACACACGTCAAAAAAAATCGAAGGGAAAAAAGGAGAAACGAAAAAAAAAAAAAGAAGGAACCTGAAAAATGGTTGCTGCGGTGCTTTTTACTATAGACCATCTAAAAATAATTACAAAGAAAAAAGGAAAAAGTTTTTTTTTTTTTTTTTGCGTTGTTTTGTTGGTAATCGTGATGAACTTTTGTAATTTTCCAAGTTGGAAATAACGAGGGAAAAAAAAAGGAAAAAAGAAAAGAAAAAGCGTTAAAACGTGTAATTTTACACGACTATTACTTTTACACCTTTTTTTTTTTTCTTTTTTTTTTTTTTGTTCGAAACGTGTGTGTGTGTGTGTGCGCGTGTACGCATTTTCCTTGTTGCTGTTGTTGCTGTTGCATTTTATTTAAAAAAAAAAAAAAAAAAAAAAAAAAGGAAAAATGTTTAACGACGAATAAAAGTCGATGAAAGAAGTGAGAGATGGATGGTTGGCAGCAGTGTAAGAGGGAAGGGTTTGAGATTTTTTTTTTTTTATTATTGCACAGGCGTGGCGTTAATACCTGAAAAAAAAAAAAAAAAAAAAAAATTGCATCGGATTTTCCAGTCGTCGTCGTCGTCGTCGTCGCATTATTATTATTACACGTCTGAATAAATAAAGAAAATAAAATATAAAAAAAAAAAAAAAAAATGGCAGGGAGAAGAAGAAAATTTTTTTTTTTAAACAACAGCAAAAAAAAAAGGAAAGAAAGAAAAAAAATTAAAGTTTTAAATACCATTTCGAGCTTTTATTCTTAAAACAATTTTTTCTTTTTCTAACTCTCTCACTCTCTCTCTCTCTCTCTCTCTCTCTCTCTCACTCACACTCTCTCTTTTAACTCTCCTTCTCTCTCTTTTTTTTTCTTCTTCTTCTTCCTTTTATTAAAGTTGAAAAATGTCTAAAAGTTTTTTGTTAATGATGAAGAGAGAAAGAGAGAGGGAGGGAGTGAGAGTGAGAGAGAGAGAGAGAGAGAGAGAGAGAGAGAGAGAGAGAGAGAGAAATATTTAAATATTAATAATAATAAAAAAAAAAGAAAAAAAAAATTTATTTTAAATACTACAATAAAACGTTACAGCGTTTCTACTACCGCCACCGCCACCACTCCCACTCCCACTACCACCACCACCACTACCACTACCACTACTGCGCCAGTTTTAAGTTTTTATTTTATTTATAAGAAAATTTTAATGAATTTTTTTTCTTTTTCTTTCCATTTTCTTTTTCTTTCTTTTTCTTTCATTTTCTTTTCTTTTTTTTTTTATGTATTTTTATATTTTTTTATATTTTTTTTCATTTCGAATCCTTGGGAATTTTTTTTTTTTTTTTTTTTATTTCAAGTAAAAATTTATTTATCCAGTTTGCGAAAACTGGAAAAAAAGAAAAAAAAATTTATTTTTATTTTTTTTTATTTTTGTTTTCTTTTCCTTTTTTTCTCTCTCTGTTTCTGTCTCTGTCTCTGTCGCGCGCTCTCTCTTTGTCTCTCTTTTCCATTTTGTAAAATTTGAAACGAGATATGGCGGGAATGAGAGGAAAATTTATTTTAATTTCTATTAAGATTATTTCGCCGACTATTTCTCAATAGGATAAATTCGATAAATTTTAAATTCTGTCGTCGGAAAACGTAGGAAAAAAAAAATGCACGCAAGCGTAAAAAAGGATTCGTCGTTGCGGATGTAAATCCTCCATGCCCCCTCCCACCTCCTCCCTCGCAAAAAAGCAATATCGGGAGGTTGTTTTTCATTTTGTCCCCGCAGGAACAAACCCCCCCCCCCACGTCATTCATTATTGAATTTTTTTTTTTATTTTTCCGCAAAACTTTGCTTTTCATTTGTTAACAAACATTTGACGGTCGGAATGAACATTTCCGCAAAAAATAAAACAGGTAGAATGAAAAAAAAAAGGAAAAGAGAAGAAGAAAGAAAAGGAAAAGAAGGAAAAGAAAGGAAAAAATAATCAAAATGAAAATTTTCCCGGGAATGAAAAATTCGCAAATCTTTTTTTCTTTTTTTTTTTCTTTTTCATATTTTCCTCTTTCCTTTTTTTCCCCCTCTTTTTCATTTTCTTTTGTTTTCTCGTTTGTTCGTTTCTTTCTTTTTTCTTTTTCCCGGAGAAGAAATCTCGATGGTGGTTTAACCGTGAGAAAATTTTTTCTTAATCGCAACGGCAAAAAAAAGGGGGGAAAAAAAGGGAAAATGAAAAGAAGAAACTTTTCCGAATGTTTTCCGCGGATACGTTTAATCATCATCATCATCATCATCATTCTCATTCTCACTGTCATCATCATCATTATCATTAACTTGTATCATAAAATTAAAATTTTTTCATTCAAAATTTTCGTCGATTTGAAATTTTCTTTTTGGAAAAAAAAAAAAAAAAAAATGGCGTTTGTAGTAAAAGGATAAAAATAATTTTTTTTTAAATTTTCTTGTTTGTAGCAAAAAAGTAAATAAATGATAATGATAATAATAATAATAATAATAATAATAATAATAATGATTTTTTTTTGTTTCTTTTCAGTATTATGAAATGTCTTACGGTCTCAACGTGGAAATGCACAAACAGGTCAGTTAAATTTTTTTTCTTTTTTTTTTTTTGTTTTGCCATTTTGTTTGTTTGTTTGTTTGTTTGTTTGCTCGCTTGCTTGCTCGCTCGCTCGGGGGTTTGTCGCAATTGAATATTTGCGTTTTCTTAAATAATATTATTATTATTATTAGTTTTCCGCTAGATTTAATTCGACGGTTTTTCGTTATGGTGGTAGGCGTTCGTTATGAAAAATGTGGTCGTTTCGAAAAACGTATGTTTGTTGCGGACGCGAGTTGTTGTTGTTTCGTTTGTTTGTTTTTATTTGCGGCCATTTAATTAATTTAAAAAAAAAAAAAAAAAAAAAATGCATCCGAGTCGGGGATTTACGATGAAGTCATCATTATTATTATTAAAAAAAAAAAGGCGGCGTTTTCGACGAATCGTCGCGTAAAATCGAAATCAAAACAAAAAAGGGAAAAAGGAAAAAAATTCCAGGGATTCTTTTTTGAACAATTTGTTCATATTTTTTTTTTTTTTTTTTTTTTTTCCCAGAAAATACGTCCCAATAATTTTTACATAATTAACAAACGATCTTGTGAGGAGTAAGGGGAGGAACAGGAGGGGAGAGGGAGGAATAACGAAGGATTTGCATAAAAAATTTTTTTTAAAAATCGTCGAGTAGTTTGTGAATGACCCAATAAGTTATTAACCCGATAATTTGCATTTATTAATCTGTCGCGTTTGTTGTCGCCGCCGCCCTCGATAACGTTATTATTATTATTATTTTTCCGTTACCTAAATAACGGTAATAATAATAATAATAACGATAATAACGATTAATAATAATAATAATAATAATAATAAGTTTCAAAGTGCGATTTTACTTCGAAGCGTTAAAAGGAAAAAAAAAAAAAATTCTCCCCTTCCCCCCTCCTTCAGTCATTCCGTTTCTCTTCTTTCTGCTTTTTTTTTCGTTCGAACCTTCCCCCGGTTCTCTTCCGTTCTCCCTCCCCCCACGGTCGATTATCGATTTCCATTAGTTTTTTTTCTTCTAATCAAAGGGTATTAGTTTCGTTTTTGAAAAAATAATAATAATAACTCGTAAAATTTTCCACCACGTAATGACCCCACGGGTGAAAATTTTTTTTTTTTTTTTTTGAAAAAATATTATTATTATTATTATTATTATTATTATTATTATTATTATTATTATTATTATCATCGTTGTTATTGTTTTCGAACGTTCGTAAAATGCATTTTTTCGTTTCGTTTTGTTTTCTCTCGATTTCTCTCGTTTTATTAAATTTTATTATGATTATTTATATGATGGAGAAGAAAATTTTTTTTCTGGAAATGAGAGATTTCTCCAGCGCGGGTCGGTAGGTCGGTCGGTCGGTCGGTATCTTATATAGATTTTCTTTGAAACTGGAAAGTTTCAAACTGGAAAGTTGATTTTCAATTCCGGCAGAAAGGCTAAAAACAGTGTGAGAGCTTCCACGCTCGAAAAACCAACCACTCTTCTCTCTCTTTCCTCTCGTTTTCCTTCCTTCCCCTCCCTCCCTCGCTTTCATTTCATTTATCTCTTTCTCTCATACTCCTACCCCCGATTTCATCTTCTCTTTTTCCTCCCCTCTCTCTCTCTC